ACCTGGAGCAGAAACCATGCCAGCCTCTGCTCAATACTACTTGTAGACAAATAGAGAGAAAGAGAGAGAGAGAGACTCCCCCCCCCCTCCTACAATAGAATCTTTCTTAACCATTATTAATTCCTGAGGGGTAATTATTAATACGTTTTTTATTGTGAAAGCACAAGGATTAAATTATTTCTTGCAATCTTGTAAAATTACCAAGTGTTGACTTTGTATTTTTCCATTTTTTTTATCCTTTGCTGTTCCATTCATTTTCATCAACTAATCTAAAGAAAATTGTAACAGTACGCAGGGAGGGAGGGTACACAGCAAATAAAACAAAAAAGAAGAGAAGAAAAAAGGCAAGAAATCTGTTGAAAGGATAAGTGTTTTAAAAATTTCTAGTAGGAAACACTTAAAAACAAGAAAAAAGTTGCGCATGGATCCCTTGGAGGGAGTGACCGGCAAAGTATGACTTTGGTAGTTGAACTGAGAATGTAGTATTATAGAGGCATTTTTTAGGATTCATTTGAGACATATAAAACTTTTTGGTGATGTATAATTACTGAGTTTGAGTGCAAAGTCGACGTTCAAAATCATCCATTATTTTCTGAGAATCGATTTTTTAGAAATTAAAAATGTATCAAAAAATTCTACAGTAAACTTATTAGATGTTTAGGAACAAATTTCTCAATTGAAATTTTCTCGATAAGTCAATGTTTGAATCAATATTTTCTTTTTATCTTTATATTGAATTTCTTAATCTTTATAAATTTGTTCGCAGATTTCTTCAAATTCTTCAAATCTTCAAAGGAATTGAGTCTTTGGAACAAAATTCAATATTTAAACCTCAATATCTTTAGAACTCTATGTTGTAAACCTTTCAAACTTGCAAATTATTTGATCTAACAGAATTCATAGATTAAAATATCTAAGGTCTGCAACATTTGGTTCAAAAGATATAGTGATTAGGAAATCAGAGTTTGTGGCAAAGACTCAATTCCTTTTTCCACAATACTACATTCTCAGTTCAACTACCATCCATTGCTGGTCATGCCCTTTAACCCTGTATCCCGATTGGGCTATTTTTGTCTAATATAGAACAGATGGGGGGGGGGGGTTGTTTTCCACCCCTCTATGATTTTGTCCTTAAAGTTGAGATAGGAGAGAGCAAATAGATTATAGTACAATAGGTGGCAAGGGCAACAGAGAAATAGACCATTTATACACGACGTCACAAGTGTCAAATATAACAAGGAAAACTAAATTTTCTCACATTAGTTGACATGTTTTCCAAGATTAAATACAAAAGTGAAAAAACAGAAAATAAAGAACACAGATACTTGCACTTATTTTACTGTAAGATAAGCACTTTATTCTAAAATTATCATCATTAATAATAATTTTGTCGGACACAAAATCTAAATTGACACTTGTGTTTAGCTTTGATATATTTATAAAAGACGACATTACTTTTTGTGTGTCTAACAATACAAAGCAGGTAGTTTCCATTTAAACTCCGCACCTTTCACAGGTGTGGAGATGGTTTCCAAGATGAATTTATCAATATAAAAGGTAATAGTTGTAAACCTTAAATAACCTTTAGATTGTATGCATAAGTATATGCATATTTATCAAGTTATATATCTTAACTATTTTGTATATTTCAGTTATGTGTTTCAGACGAGTGTATCGTGTAAATGAGAAGATTGAAAATAAACATCTATAAAGAAAACTTCCTCATTATATTCACAAGTCTACCCATCGACAAAACTTGTTGTCTGGGTTTTATTGAAAGGAAACCTGAAACTGATTCCTCTCAATACAACTTGTGACGTCAAAATACAGTTGTACTGAGAGTTTACAAATTCTACGTTGCCATCTATTGTACTATAGAATCTATTTGGGAGAGAGTAACTATTGAATCCAGGGACCAATAATTATCTCGCTATATGCGAAGGTTCAGGGCCCAGCTTTGTGAATTTTCCATAAAATATTTAGATGGTATTAGACCACTGATGAAACCTTCTACCTAAATAGCTTGTTACAGAAACCTCAAATTTTTACCTCTTCTTCATTGAACAAGAGAGACATCAACTAGCATATTGTTTACTTTCTATACAGTACACTAGTCAAATATGGGTGTAAAGATAAATTCAATTGTACAAAAAATCTTACCTTTCAAGGTTCTCCCGGGTACCTTAGGTAAAATATTTACGAAGAGAATGAAATATTTGGTGTACATCCTAAAAAGATAATTGAGTATCTGAGTTTTGCCCCTGTATTACTATGTAAATTCTCATCTAATAATTCCGGATTACTATTTTTTCTAACAATTGCTCTTAAAAACACCATTTAATGGTCTAAACTGAACAAATGAAATATATGGTCGGATTCTACATGTCATTGGCACACATAAAGTGTTATTCTTCAAGGCTCAAAAAATGGTACGATATCACTTAAAATAAGAATTGAAAATATATATCTTGAGCATAAAACGAGGAAAAATGAGTGCAAAACATAATAGCCTTACTACAGAATCCGACCCTATGTTTTATTTCTTCAGGTTAGACCTTTAAGTGGTGTTTTTATTATCAATTACCAAAAAAACAGGACTACGGAATTATTATCTGAGTATTTATTATATGAAGACAGGGGAAAAACGATGATACTCAATAATCTTTTAAGGCTTTACACCAAACAATTTGTTCTCTTCATGAATCTGTTAACTGGGAGAACCCAAAAGGTTAGATTTTTTGTAACAATTAAATTTATCTTAAAAACCTACATTTGACTAGTGTATATTCTCCTCTCCCCTTGCTGCAGTACCGATTCGATCTCATACTTCAAATGTTGCACTTGTTGCTCTGGGCGTTTTGAAACTGTGTAATTGGGCGTTTTGTAATTGGGCGTTTTTTTGCATTGGGCGTTGTGTTGCATTGGACGTTTTGTTGCATAGGGCGTTTTGTTTTTTGACAGTTTTGTTTTTGGGTGTTTTGTTCTTGGGTGTTTTGTACCCAAATCGTATTTCTCCTTGTTTCTTCCTGAGTATTTCTTGTTTAATTTTGTCTATTTCTTCTTTGGTGATTCTATAAGAAAATTACAACATAGGCTTTAGCTCTTGCACAATTTTGACATTTTGACAGGAAGAGGTGTCTAAAATTGTAGATGGTTTTTTTTTAACTTGGTTGCATACTTGAGCACTGAACATGTTTTCTTGTGTTTCATTTAATTTGAAAGGGTCAAGGCGCCAGCAAAAAAAAATCTATTGGAGGTTTTTCTGCTAGCATACTGATTTTTCACTATAAATAGGAGTGGGTCGAATGTATGCTACATTACATGCACGACATTGTAACCTCGTAGCTCCTCTAGTTTTAATTTAACTCAAAATTTTAAGGAAAGCTATTCTATTTACTAGTAATTCAAACCGTGCTCTTTTCAATAGCAATTGAATAGGAGTTATGATCAAAACATGTAAAATTTTAATTGGGCGTGCCCAGAGTACATGAAAATAATGGTCTGCTTTTATGTCTTTTTTTAGAATTTATTTATTTTCAAGTTAACTTGGCATTCATCTTATCACTTAGATTTTATAAGACAAAGATATTAAATGTAATTTGTCAAATTATAAAGATATGCTCTCTTAAATTGTAATAGATTAAAAATATCATTAATTCAAGCAATTAAAATACTGGGAAAATGAAATTGTTTTTTTTTATTTCTTTTAATTCAGGGTTACCCACAAAGGATGAGACTTCAGAAATGACTGTACGTAATGTATTCATACTTATCACTAACATTCAAGGTTCACCGCATTTTTATGCTTTCTTCTTTTTCCTTAATAATTTCATAGATCCATAGAAGACTATTTCCTTATTAAAAGACAAAATTTAACCTTGAAAACTTGAGATCCTGGAGAATATTAGGCCGTCATTCAAATCTCAACTTTTGTGGAGAACCCTGTTTGTAAATTATAAAAGAAATAAATTAAGCATCTATATAATAAAGCTCGTAGCTCATATTATCATATAACATATTATCATGTTAGCTGTAGCTGGCTAACGGCTAGACAAAATGGGCTGAACTTTGTTTAGGGAATCCATGGGTGCCCAGGGAGTAACAAAGGCTAAAAGATTTTTTTTCAGAACTTTTTTCTAAATCAAAATTTTTTTAAAGCTCGATTTTAACAAATTCCACGGGCAACGCCGGGCACTTCAGCTAGTATTATATATTTTACAAGTTCTGAGGTGCACTTATGAAAAACATTTAATATTTATTCTAAACAACTATTAGCATGCAAGAGGATCATGAATTTGTAAAAATAGTTAACATATTTAGTAACATGAATTCAAGACACTAAGATGGAAATTTAGAGAAAATTGCAATGCTGTGTATGTTTGCATTTAATCACGATAAGTGTCGATTGATTGAGCATTTTCAAATTCAAATGTGATTTTTATGAAATATTTTGCTTTGCAGGTTGTAAAATATGCAATTTTGTTTTTTATTTTATCTGCATAATTGCCTCTACCGTGAAACTAGATACTTGTAAGAACCTGACTTTTCTATGCCTAAAGGGACTGCATGTAAGCGTAATTTCATGTAACTTTTATTGCAAAAATGGCAAATGCCCGATTTACAACGGTACCGTTAAAAGCTTTGTCTGATCAAATACTTGTCGTATATCAATGTTTGTAATTTGAAAAATGATGTTTAATTGTGGATTCGCTACAAAAGTGCTTGCGCATTTCTACTACAGGAAAGCATATATGAATTATCATAATTAAACACTTGTAAACAAAGCAAACCATGGAGGGTTCCTTGAAATTACGAATACAGTCCCTTTATCTTGTTATTGATGCGAAGAATAAATTTAATTTGATTCTTGAGATTTACTGATAAATATGTAAATAGGAGGTTTACTTAAAGTTGTAATGATTATCTCTTCTTATATATATATTATATGAACCTCAACATTCGTAATGTTTTTTAACATTTTCTAAAGGAATTGAGTCACAAACTCAATTTTTCTTCGTTATTTCAAACATAGATAATTTTGGATCTAACATTCATAGTTTGAAATATATAAGATATATGACAATGGGTTGCAATATATACGGATAAAAAGACTTGTGGCAAAGACTTCGTTCATTTCCAGAGATCGGGGCTTGCTCTCAACGTTTGTCACATTCTGCTGATACATTGTTAAGATTAGTCAGCATAGTACTGATCTCCTTAGTCTTTGCTTCAAGCTTAGAAACCAGTTCTCCTTTCTGACTTATCTCATATTCACACTCCTAGATAGAAAGATAGATACATACATGGATAGATAGATAGATAGATAGATAGATAGATAGATAGATAGATAAACTGGAAGCCTTGCTACTGAATTGTCATAATGATTTAAATAGGTTTAAAATCTTGTTACCGCTAGTTTGGTTTAAAACTTGTTATTGCTAGTTTGATTTAAAACTTTTTACCGCTAGTTTGTTTTAAAACTTGTTACCGCCAGTTTGGTTTAAAACTTGTTACCGCTAGTTTGGTTTAAAACTTGTTACCGCTAGTTTGGTTTAAAACTTGTTACCGCTAGTTTGGTTTAAAACTTGTTACCGCTAGTTTGGTTTAAAACTTGTTACCGCTAGTTTGGTTTAAAACTTGTTACCGCTAGTTAGTTTGGTTTAAAACTTGTTACCGCTAGTTTGTTTTAAAACTTGTTACCGCTAGTTTGGTTTAAAACTTGTTACCGCTAGTTTGGTTTAAAACTTGTTACCGCTAGTTTGGTTTAAAACTTGTTACCGCTAGTTTGGTTTAAAACTTGTTACCGCTAGTTTGGTTTAAAACTTGTTACCGCTAGTTTGGTTTAAAATCTTGTTACCACTAGTTTGGTTTAAAACTTGTTACCGCTAGTTTGGTTTAAAATCTTGTTACCGCTAGTTTGTTTTAAAACTTGTTACCGCTAGTTTGTTTTAAAACTTGTTACCGCTAGTTTGGTTTAAAACTTGTTACCGCTAGTTTGGTTTAAAACTTGTTACCGCTAGTTTGGTGTACATTTCAAGATTAATGCATTTTATATCCTCGAGCTGCCCTTTCAGAGTACTGATGATCTCCTGAAACAATTAGAAATTGAGTTAAATTCTTTCAGAGTAATGAGAAACTGAAAATTTATTATTTTAAAAATTATTTAATTGATAAATGAATAATTTAAACCTTTTTCTCTGAAACATCTTTCTCCAAATGTGAAATTGTGATCTCCATTTCTTTCTTGATATTTTCCTTGAAAAAGTAAGAATAAATTGTAGGATAATTTTCCATATTTTTGAACAACAACAACAATAAACTAGTTGCTATGTGTATCTATCTATAGTATAGTATCTATTATGCTTTTAACAAGTTGATTATTTGAAACAATCAATACAAGGTACCATTAAAAGAACTCTGTATTTTCTAATTGTGTTTTACCAAAAAAAAAGCTCTTAACCTTGGTTTAATTTCGTAGTAAATATTACCAAAATGTGCTCAACTATCTTTAGAGCTACTTCCTCTCCTATTTCTTCTCTTCGTTCTCCTCCTTTTCCACCTTCTCCTTTTTTTCCTACTTTTCCTCCTTTTCCTACTTTTCCTCCTTTTTCTCCTTTTCCTCCTTTTCCTCCTTTTCCTCCTTTTCCTCCTTTTCCTAGCCTTTCCCTCCATTTTTTCCTTTTCCTCCTTCTCCTCCTTCTCATTATACCTCTTCCCCTACTGCCTTTTCTCCTACCTGTTTATTCATCTCCTCCTCCACCTCCTCCCTCCTCACCATCTCCTGCTGCAACCTGACTCTGAACTCCTGACTCAACTCCTTCATCCCGTTTTCATAGGAAGACTAAAACAGATATATCTATATGTAAAGTTGTAGTCTCTATTTGTCTGTCTGTTTGTTTGTTTTTCCGATCATAACTGAGGAACCCCTGGACCAATTTGTCTTAAAGTTTTATTAGGGAACTCGGGAGAAACACAGAAATGTTCTTAACTTTGTTTTAAGATTATAAACTAAGTGTGTCGAAAATTTAGTTTCCCTGTAAAAACGTTCAAGTGCGGGTAAACGGTAGGAGTAATTTTTAGTAACCTGGGCAGAGCTGGGTTCCCAATCTTTTATATTATATAATGAATATAATACTAATAATATTATTAATTATATTAATAAATACACTAAGCTCTCGGTGCGTAGTGCTGCAGTGGAATTTAACAGAGTGGGGAGGCTACTTATCACTTTCACAAAGACATTAAAAAATTAAAAAGCATAATATGTTAATTTTAAAGTGAATTTAATTAACCTGAACTAAGGAAACTCTACTTCTAATTAAAGGTATTTCTTCTTCAGCCATTCGTTCAATATTTCTAGAAATAAAGAAATTTTCAGGATCTCTCTCGAAATGAAAAAGTATGCAAAATTATCAAGCTTTTTTTTAGATAAGTCTCATTCTTTCGAATTCCAAAATAAATACTTTCAAGTGAAAAAGGCCTGAAGAACAAGAGTAAAATATAAAAGTTTAGAAAATTTAAAAGTTCCAACCTGTATTTTTCCAACTCTGCTCTAAGTCGCTTGTTTTCCACCTGAAATGGTAAAATTATCAGATTTACTAAAAGGACATTCTGAAAATATAATTGTAAATATTGAGCATTTTGGATATACTTACCTAATCCTTCTCTATTATATCCTTGGATATATTTACCTGAACCTTCTCTATAGTATCCTTGGATATATTTACCTAATCCTTCTCTATGGTATCCTTGGATATATTTACCTGAACCTTCTCTATGGTATCCTTGGATATGTTGAGATCTTCTTTGATTAGTGCATTACTGGTAGATAAACTTTCTACCTTCTCCTGCAAGCTACTCACTGTGCCGCTAAATAAATTTAAAAATGTTGTCCTAAATGTGGCAAAGTGGGCATGAAATCTTTAATTTGTTTCATGATATAAATCTTACTTTAAATGTCTGTTAAGTTCTTCAATATAGTTCTTCTGATCTAGAACAGTGGTCATATTCTCATCTGCTCCTTCTGCTGTTGAACCTTCCCTGCTCCCTCCCCCCTCTCTTCCTCCCCCGGAGGAGATACTGAGTACATCCTCCTCCCCCAGGTCCCTCTTGGTTCGAAGGTAGAGGGAGAAATCAATCACTCCCTGTTGACTGTCTAAATCTTCCTCCTGAATATAGTTTGCATTAATTGATTTAAACACAACAACATGCCATCTTACTAATAATCTTTGTCAAACAGAATTGCATTTTGTTAGTCAAGTAAAAGATATCACCTTAACACAGAGATTACAGTCTACAATATTAAGACTGACTAGCAATGCACTAATAACATACGCCTCCTCAGACCTGAAACAAAATAAAAATTTTAATCATTTTATTCCTGAAAGTTTTCTAAAACTAATTAACAATTATTGTATAATATTAAGGTATATTAACATTTTTCCTTTCCCTATGGAGATAATTCGAAGTTTTGATTAAATCTAAAACTAATTTCAAAAAGTTCTTTACAAGTTTACCTAAGAAGAGCTGGAGCCTCATAGTATTCGGATAAAAGTTGTGGCTGACTTACTAACAATCTAGAAAAATATTATGAGAATAATCTGTAAAACTATATTGAAAAAAATATATATATAAATCTTTACACACGTCTTGTAGAACTCCGAATTTCCCACCAAAATACCATTTATGTCGTATTCTTATTGAAATTGTACCAGTATAACGATAAAAAAGTAGGTATATTATATTTAGAATGGATTTTAAAAACAAAAGATTTCTGTTTTTTTTGAGGGAGTATTTTTTTTTAACATTTTCAAACAAATTAATTTAGTGTTTCTATTGTAACTGAAATTGATATTGATTCGGTTTCCACTGTTTTAACTTTTTATTAAACTTTTTTCCTACTTTGATTTTTAAAGTTAGCTTTGTATAATTAATTAACAGAAGGTGAAAAAAGCTGCCAAACACCCCCCCCCTTTCAACCTTTTTCCTTTTCAAAGAACAAAAAACAAAAATATTAAAGGATTAAAATGTTCTAAGAATATGATAATTTGAAAAATTTTTAAAAATTGTCTTTTATCTTCACAAGCCCCTGATACCCTTTCCATAAGGTAAAAAGCTGCATCAGCCTCTTGTTATAAAAGAACTCTAAGCATTATCCCTACAGCAGTCGTGAATTTGTTCAGCGAATATGCTCTGGCTTAAGCTGCAAATTAATTTAATGTGAGTACCAAGTTTAATTTAATCTCCACAAAATATGTATTCTGTAGGTATCATGAATTTTTATCTTTACTCCTCAAAGTAAAAATATGTATTCTGTAAGTATCTATGTATTTTTATCTTTACTCCTCAAAGTAAAAATATGTATTCTGTAGGTATCAATGTAT